AATAAACAACATTCCTAACCATTACATTTAAAATAAATAACAAACAAGCCCTGTATGTATAAAATTCTTGTTAAAACATCCCATTTTATACAGTGTGCAGTATGTTTGCTTTGTTTCTGAATCAGAGTCTGTGTATTCTGTCTGTGGGTCTGACTCACCCGGGGGTAAGGCAGGCCACTGCTGGTGTTGAAAGCCGGCAGCAGTCGGAGGCCAATGTCTTTGGACATATGTAAGAGCTCATCCTGGTACCACTGCATGTGCTGACCTCCCTCCTTCAGCATCACAGCCATGGAGTGTCCTCCTAATAAACCGCTGAACACAATAACATGTGAATATTAGTACAACACAGTCCACTAATTTCTTCTGTCTTTACGTATCTGAAACTTCAGTTCTTCTGAAAAATATGTGATGTATTTCCTAACAGTCATTATGTGTTGATAGTTTCATCCAATCTCACCCAAGGACTCGAATGTTGGTTTCAAAAACCGACACCACAATGTCGTTGTCCAGTCTCACATCTTTTAAGACTCTCCTCACTGCAGCCTCGAACTCTGTCGTCTTATTTAAAAGCTGGAAATGAGAAACAGTACATGATCATACAAATTAGGCTGAATTATAAACCAATGCACAGTCTAAAAGTGGAATAAAGTACAATGGATTATGTTCAGAATAATTTATAATAAAATGTTTAACTAAGGAATGTTAATTTTTAACTGGTAACATTGATGTTTTGCTGAGAGTCTTTAATTTATTTCTTCTATGCAATGTACGTCTTTAGTATCTACGGAATAAAATATACTATATACTCACCACCAGAGTATCCAGAGTATCTATGAGGGTCAGAGAGAACCTGAAATAGACAGAAAATAACTATTAGCCAAAGGTGCTGATGAAAATGCTTAAAACTATTCAACTTGATGAATGTTACTCAGCATGTATTAGTACAATCTGCCTCCACCTTCCCACTCTTAGGGGAGCGAGAAAAAACAGACCTGGTGCAGTAAGGTACTCACTTTCCCAGAGCGTCGTCTACGTCACCTCGACTGGGTTCAAGCCCTCGTACTCTTCCTCTGCACGTCAGAGGCATCAGCTCATCTGCTGGGTAGGCATGGTCCTGGGAAACACAAACAAACTTGCTTTTAACACCATGATCTGACCTTCAGTTCTTATTGTCTTCTCTAGGTGTTCAGCTCAGTCTGACTCAGTCATCTTAAAATACACATCATATGACACACGAAAGAAGTTTCGAAGGCGCATTTAATACTTACTAAGAGTGTCACAAAAAAAAGAAGCTATTTGTCTTCACTGCACCACAGTTACCCTTTACCAGATTTGACATTTTATCTCATTTAAACTCAGATATTCTCTTCTCTACACTAAAAGTATGGGCAGGGCTAAAAGAATTACATGCATCTACCGAGCTGCAAAGTGTAAAGCCCGACCGATATGGATTTTAGCAGACCAATGCGCACGTTATGATTCCTGAGATGTTCTTATCAAACCCTTATGACAAGGAAATATAATTAACGTCTGATACTACAAAGAAACCACAAATACAATCAAGTATATGGAACATACATTTAAGTAATTGACCCAATTTAATGTAAAATGTAAACGTAAATGCAAATCCGTTCTGAATTGTTTATTATCCGCAAATTAATGCTGATACTGACATGTCTGTGAAAGGCTCATATCGATCAACTGATAAATCGGTCGAGCTCTTGAAAATTTGTTGCAGCAGAACAAACACCAAAGTATTGAATTCTTTCTTTCTTTCTCTGAAGAACTTACCATGTAATTCTGATACGCATGGTCAAACATCTCAACCACTTGGTTCCTTTAGTGAAGAGACAGAAGACACACACCGGTCAGCATGTGCAACATCTTTTCAGGAGAGAAAGTGTTCATTTCTCAAATGAATTTCCAAAAGTGCTGGAAGTTTTTCCAGAGCTCACCTCAACTTGTGCTTCTCCTCCCGGGACATGGCCTGTCCGAGGCTGCACAACGCTCCGCTCAGCATCAGTAAGAACAGTACGGGCGGCATCGTGGCGGATGGCCAAGATCACAGCATTCAACGACAGCTTGTCTCTCAGTTAGTCAGTCACTGGGCAAATATCTATGTCATTACCACGGTCCTAACCAAACAGCACCAAATAACTGAGACACCGAAGAAACGTTGACCTACACCCTACCATTTGAGTTATGCATCCTCTTCAGTGGTTTCATACAGCATCAGAAATAACTCCTAGTCCACTCAAGTACAAACCTCGCCACTTACACTCCATCTGTCTCTCTCTCTCTGGTGACAACTACAGCAGGACTGTGTTTCTACCCATCAGTGGAGCTCTGTGGCACAACTGCTGTGAAATTACTTTGTAGGATTGTAATTTAAAGTGAGCAGATAATAAAGTGTCCCTGATGTTGACCTTATCTCGAAGTGCAAGGTTGTTCCCAGTCCTACTCCCAGCAGGTTGCTCTGTCACACCTGTTTACTTTTCCACGCTGTAACCCGGACCTACACCTACACGTTGTGTGACACGTTGACACGTGAATGACCAACATCACTTATAACTGAGCAAACCCGTTTAATCACATGAACCCAGAGATCAGAGTACGGACATGACAGTGATCGTATTGTCAGCGATCGTCAGACAGTGATCGGGGAAATGAAAACGTAGCAGCATTCAAAACACAGCGTCATCTTCAAGACCAACTGTAGAAACCAACAAAGCGAGCAACGCTGTGTTATTTGTTTACGACCCCGCGCCTCAGGTCGTTTTCCACATCCACACTCTACAGCAGATTAAAACCAAAAGTCAAGCTAACATCTCTCATAACATCCCGATCATCCCAGCTCGTGTTGTTTCTTCTTTTTATTTTAGATATCCAGTTAAAGATTTCCTCCTCTGAGCTGTTTTCCTCCGTCACCTAATCAGAGCCGCAATGAAACCAGCCAGCGAGCTAGCTGTGCTAACTAGCCGAGCTGGTGTCCGCGGACAGACCAACAACACAACACAAACCAACAAAAACTACGTCCATCGTGGAGCAGCGGGCCTGGTCGGTGGTTGTCCGCTGTCCTTTGGTGTGGAGAGAATCATTTCACCGTAAGCTTTAGTTTAGCCGAGCTAGCAAGAGCGATACTCCGGATGTCCCGATGAAACCGTAAACAACATCCGCTTCCTGTTAGGACAAGCAGTGATCCCCTGAGTTTTGCTTGTCAGGCATCATTTTCTCAGGAGGCTGATAATCAAATAACTCACGATTCGTTGAGATGCGCAGCTTTAACTCAAAGCGTAGTCACACCTGTTAAGTACGCAAATTTAACATAATTCTAAGAATAAACTGTTGTTTCATGGCTTTAGAAGTGGTGCCACAACCAGGCGGAAGTGTTACCTGAAGGAACACACGTGGAGAAACAAAACCCCTTTACACATCAGTCCCGCCCATTCTCACCAGTGTTGCCTTTCGTGGTTCCTCGGAAAGCTCGGAAAAATACAATTCAGCGTCTCTAGCGACCCTAAGCGCTTACATTTGTAATGAATAACACAATTTAATCTATTATGAAAAACAACTTTGAGACACTATTAATTGGAAGTAATGCAACAACACGAAATCCTATGTTTATAATTTTTGAAGGGAATTTTCAGCCATTTCAGCCATCAAAGCCAATGATGTAATTGATATGCAGTTACATGACATTTCAAATTAAATTTCAGCTTTCCGACCACAAATATTACAATTTACTGACAGCAAATGAATGCAACTTTAATCATTTGTAACATTAATCAAAATGAATTTGGCCATTATGCAAACGTAATTGCAATCGCATCATTTCCAGTAATGCATAGTATTTTAGACTCACTAAACTTTTGATAGGGCTTAAAGAATAAAATTATTAGCCATAAATTATTGGATGTTAGAGTTAAAGTACAGACTCTTTGTGTTATTAGTGTAAAGTACATTTTATGGTAAATATATAAGTTTAATACAACGAAAACTAACAACAAGTCACAATCTATTCAGCAGCACAGTTTGTGTGTACGTGTGTGACTGACTCAGCATTTCTCTGATGGGAGGAGTTGAAACAAGTGTTATCAGGTTGTGTGTTGTTATATAATGTTACTAATTGTCCTCAGACATGGGTGTGTAAAGAATCTCCTGTGGTGGCAGCTCAATGTTTATTATGTCCTGTACTTTTTTCATAACTTGCCAGGCGTCTTTCTTACGCTTTGTTGCCGATGTACCAGACCTGTTTGCTTAAGTGCTCTCCACTGTGTATCTTGAAATGTTGATCCCAGCTTTTTGTGGGAGGTTGATTATTCTTAGTCTTCTCGGAAAATAAAAGTCATACCTCAACCTTGACTGCAAAGGAGTTGCTAGTCCAGGGTAGGTTATCTGTGATGGTGGGTCCCAGAAACCTGAAGCTGAATATAGGACAGTGCTTTTGGACCATTATTTTATTGTTTTTGTGTTTGTTTATTTTTTATCTACAGGTCACTTTTGGATGATATACTCTGTACAATTCATTACTAGAGGACAATTTTGTATCTACTCATTTTGGTACTTTTAAAACAATTGACTATATTTCCCTTAAAGTTTTGCATCTTTGCCATTTGACGCAAAGATGTTTTCACATAACTACCATATCAACCAATATCTGTGTCCTACAACCATAGACTGTAGGCTTATATATAGATGGACGACATGACATCTGGACAAAAGTGAAGCCAAAGCATTTCAATTGCCACATGGTGGCTGGTTGCAAAATGTTTTCTGCCATTTCATTTGGTTGTCATGACACTAATATTTGTTAAAGCGAACATTTTTCCATTAAGTTCGACTTTTAGAAGTTATTTGATGCCATAAAAAAAAAAATGAATGATCGACAGCTGATACTGACTCACGACTGGTCGAGTGCATGCATTGGAGGGCGTTATCTGCTCATTTTCGTGCCTTTTTAGACAATTGACTACATTTCCCAGGAAGCATTGCGGCATCACTTGACACTTCAGATGTTTTCACATGACGAGCACATCAACAAATCCAGGAAAACCAGTTAAAACCAGTAACATGCAACTTCCCCGACAGTAAGACCTTGTAGTCCTGAACGCACGGACGGACAGCTCTCAGGTAGGCTGTCGCTCACACTGTACTTTTATTTCATTGTTCTCGATGGTGTTGAATTTCCACTTGTTGAGAAGGTCGATGTAACTCCACACACGTCAGATGGTGTTTACCCACCGTGCAGCCTGTAGGTGCATGATGCAACGGTGATGCACGTTTGTCTTTTACTCTCAGGTTAGTCAGACTTTAAATGTTAACACAGGACTGAAAAAAAGATATTTCTATCTGTCTGTCTTTTTATCTATCTATCCATCTAACTGTCTGTCTATCTGTTTGCCTGTCTTTCTATCTATCTATCTTCTTGTCTTTGTTTCTGACGTAGCACTTCTTGTTCTGAAATGTAGCCTGTCACTTCAGTCTTATTTCTTACGCATGTTTTCGTCAAGTGTGTTTGACTCTTCTGCATTGCTGAGACTGGTAACACTGCCTGTACATGTGCTGCAGAGGAAGTTGGATCCAGATGTTTTGTTCACTGAAGTATAACATGTAATAATAACAATAAGAAGCTCAAAGTGCTTCATAAGTGGATAAAACAACTGTAAAATTAGTTTCTGATAATAAAAAATAAGTTAAACTTCAGCCAAATTGCAAACTGCACTGATCTTTAAACTGTCCGTGGACATTGCATTGATGTCATCGCTGTTTTCTTTCTTGTTTTTACTTGTCTTGACATGCTCTATGTGCCTTAGAACCGCTCTCCGGAGACAAATTAAGTTGTTCTGAATTGAATTGAATTTTGAATTGCTGAGGTGGTAAAACGGATGTATCTCAGCTGGAACATCGTTCCAAAATTTGAGGGTCTCACACAGCAAACAGCATGATATCCTTAAAGTTACCCAGAAGTGGAAACTTTCATTAGAGCTCTCTCAGCTGTTCTAAGGTGGCCTACAGGCTCATAAGGAGTGGTCTTGGTTGTGTTATGCTTCAAAAGTCATTGATTAAATCCTAAAATCAATGTGTAAGCAAACAGGAAGCCAAGGCACCGTCAGATTTTCTTGCACCAGTAAAAATCCCAGCAGCTGCATTTTGAACCAATTGAAGGCTTGGGAAAGATAAAGGCACGAGCAGCCCTGTTTAAGTCCTCAATTGTTAAGAAGGACAAAAACTTTGAAACTTGAATTGGAAAAAACAGGATTGGACAACTTTCTATACTTGGTCAAATTTCCTGTAAAGTTTTTAACCTTCAGTAAAGTACAGTTTAAATGCTTTTGCATGTTGTGCTTCCAAGTTTTGTTCCTAACATCTGACATTTGCATTCTCTGTTGTTAGGTCAGTCATGGCTCCAGCCGCAGACAAAAAGCTGACAGGACTTGTTGCAGCTACATTCACTCCATTCACCGCTCAAGAGTAAGCATCCATTAGACACCATTTCCTCTTTTTTCAGTTTTTCCTGAAATCCGGCTCTGACTGTATTTGTTGTGAAAGTGTGCCCTGATTCAGTTCCCCTGTAAAAAAAAAAAAAGAACTTGTGAGTGAGGAGTGAGTGTGAAGACATTTGAAAACTGTGGCCACCATACATTCCAGTAGATCTAGAGCACTATAGCACGTTTGGTAGTCTTTTTGCCAAATGTGTGGGCCCATATTTCTTATATTTTCCCAAAACAGTGAAATCAACCTTTCAGAGATTGGACCTTATATTGACTACTTGAAAGAGAAGCAAGGTGTAAATAGCTTGTTTGGTAAGTTTACATGTGGATTCTTCTTTTGATATTTGTCATTGTCTGTGTTCCCACCTGAATCATTCATATCGCATGTTTGGCCTTGTTGGTTTGTAGACATAGTTCATGTGTCGTCCCTCTTTTGACCATATTAACCTGAATGTTTAGGTAGAAAACAAATAAGTGATGGGCAGTGTTGGATATAGTTTAGTTTGGAAAAACCAAATCTGGTCAGTTAGTTACTTTTGTACTTTTGGATTCCACATACTCTACCAGCAATTATCTTTAATTAA